ACACAGACTGTTATCAGACTAACCCCCACCTCCTCTATCACCCCCCCACACACACTACAGTGGGCGACATCTGTTGGCCGACCATAGCATTTCCCCCAGCTGTTTCGAAACTTCAGTCTCAAGGCTATTCGAATCCTCACTGTGGTTGGGTAGTGGACACGACTTAGGTGCACAATAGTACCTCTCAATACGACACGCGGCACCTCACAATACAACATGCAGCACCTCACAACACAACACGCGGCACCTCACAACACACGGTACCTCACAACACGACATATGGCACCTCATAATACAACACGCGTCACCTCACAACACAACAGCGGCACCTCACAACACACCACTCGATACATCAAGCCACAAAACACGGTACCTCAAACAAAACGCTTCCCCTACACACAACACAAAACTACAACACCATCACAACACACGGGTACCTCACGGAACACGCTCACATACACAGCACCTCACAACACAACACACGGCACAACACACACACACGGCGGCTGGACACACGTTAACCTCACACACGCGGCACCTCACACAACATCACAACACAACACACCTCACAACACAACACACGACACTCACAACACAACACACGGCACCTCACAACACACGGTACCTCACAACACGAGCACCTATCACAACACAACACACGGCACCTCACAACACTCACAACACAACACACGGCACCTCACAACACACACACGCACAACACACGGCACCTCACAACACCTCACAAACACAACACACAACACAACACGGCCACGGCACCTCACACACACACACACATACACGGCACCTCATAGCACAACACACGGCACCTCACAACACAACACAGTACCTCACACACAACACACGGCACCTACCTCACAACACAACACGCACCTACAGCACAACACACGGCATCACAACACAACCACAACACACAACACACGGCACCTCACACACAACACGGCACCCTTACAACACACGGTACCTCACACAACACGGCACATACAGCACCTCACAACACACACACACACACAACACGGCACCTCAACAACACAACACACGGCACCTCACACACACAACACACGGCACCTCACAACACAACACACTCACGGGCACCTCACAACACAACACACGGCACCTCACAACACAACACACACTCACAACACAACACACGGCACTCACAACACACTCACAACACAACACACGGCACCTCACAACACAACCACACGGCACTCATAGCACAACATTAACGGCACCTCTACAGCACAACACGCGGCACCACACACAAACACACGGTACCACAACACACGGCACCACAGACAACACACGGCACCTCACAACACAACACACGGCACCTCACAACTCAACACACGGCACCTCACAGCACCTCACAACAACACAACATACGGCACTACAACACAAACACACGGCACCTCACAACACAACTCACGGCACCTCACACCAATACACAGCACCTCACAACACAACACAGCACCTCACACGACAACACGGTGCACCTCACAACACAAATCTAACGGTACCTTTACAACACAACATACGGTATCTTCACACAACACACGGTAATTCTCACAACACAACACACGGCACTCACAACACAACTCACAGCACCTCACAACTCAACACACGGCACCCCACAACACAACTCACGGCACCTCACAACACAACACACGGTGCACTCACAACTCAACACACGGCACCTCACAACACAACATATGGCACCACAGCACAACACACAGCACCTCACAACCCAACACACGGTACACAACATAACCTGCTACGGTGGCCCCATACAACCCAACACACGGCACTCACAACACAACACATGGCACCCCACAGCACAACACACAGCACCACAACTCAACAAACCGCACCCCACAACACAACTCACAGCACCTCACAACACAAACACACGGCACTACTAAATATAACTCACAGCACTCACAACACAACACACGGCACCTCACAACACAACTAACGGCACCCTCAAACACAACACACGGCACCCCAACACAACACACGGTAATATCCTAACAACACACGGAACCTCACAAGACAACCTACAGCACCCACAACACACAAACACACACAGCACCTCACAATGCAACACACGTACACCTCACAGCACAACCTATGGCATCTCACAACACACCCACGGCTCCTCACAACACAACCCACAGCGCCCTAAAACACACCACAGCGCTCAAAACACAACCTACAGCACTCACCACACACAACACACGGCACCTCACAACACAAACACACGGCACCCATAACACAACACACGGCACTCACAGCACAACACACAGCACTCACAACACAACACACGGTACCACAACACAACACACGACACTCATAACACAACACACGGCACCTCACAACACAACACACAGCACCTACATCACAATATATGGTAATTCTCACTACAACACAACTCACGAAAACACAACACAACACACGGCACTCCTCACAACACAACACACGGCACCTCACACCACAACATACAGCACTCACAACACAACCCAGCACCTCACAACACAAATCACAGCACCTCACAACACACAGCACCTCACAACACACAACTCACATCACATCACCTCACAACCTAAAACCCTGTGCACCATAGCACAACACACGGCACCTCACAACACACAGACATGCACCTCACAGCATGCACACATTGCAACTCACAACACACCCCTGCACATCACAACACAACTCACAGCAGCTCACAACACACACACGGCACCTCACAGCACAACACATGGAAAACCCCACAGCACAACACGCACCTCACACCACAACCTTACAGCACCTTCGGGGTAACAATAACCCACGGCACCTCGCACACAACACGCGGCACCTCAAACACACGGCACCCTTACAACACAACTCACAGTAATTACAACACAACACACGGCACTACAACACAACACATGCGGCACCTCACAGCACAACACACTGCACCCCATTAACACAAACACACGGCACTTTCACAACACAAGGCACCTCACAACACAACCTCACAGCACCCTGCCAGCACAACCTACAGCACTCATAGCAGAACACACGGCACCTACAACACAACACACGGCACCCCACAGCACAACACACGCACTCACAGCACAACACGCGGTGGCACCTCACAACACAACACACGGTACCACACACACGGCACTCACAGCACAACACACGGCACTCACAACACAACACACCGGCACCCCACAACTCAACACACTGTGGCACCTCACACCCTGCCACAACACAACATACGTAAACACCCCACAACATGACAATGGCACTCACAACACGTCCCACGGCACCCTCACAACCCACACACATAGCACCTCACCACAACACACAGCACCTCACAACACAAACATTAATGGCACCTCACAACACACAAAAACTAAATGCACCACACAACACACGGCACCCCACAACACAACACGGCACCTCGACAACACAACACACGGCACCCCACAACACAAACTCACAGCACTCCTCATGAACTCAACACACGGCACCCACTGAACACAACTCACGGCACCACAACACAACACACGGCACCTTCACAACTCAGCCCACACGGCACCTGCAACACAACATATGGCACCTCAGCAGCACAACACACAGCACCTCACACCCAACACACGGCACAAATATAACTACGGTACTCACAACCCAACACACGGCACCTCACAACACAACATGGCACCTCACAGCACAACACACAGCACTCCACAACTCAAATAAACCACCCCACAACACAACTCACAGCACCTCACAGCACAACACACGGCACCCTCACAACAACTCAGCAGCACTAAAAACACAACTCACGGCATCCCCACAACACGCGGCACTCTCACAACACACGGCACTCACAACACAACTCACAGTACCACAACACAACACACGGCACCCTCACAACACAATACGCGGCACCACAGCACAACACACGGCACCACAACACAACACACGGCACCTCCCAACACAACACACGGAACTCCGCCAAGACAACTCTCACAGCACTCACAACACAACACACAGCACCTACAATGCAAACATTAATGACACTTCACAGCACAATCCCAGTGGCATCTCACAACACACCCACGGCTCTCACAACACAACTTACAGCGCCTCACAACACAACTCACAGCGCCTCAAAACAACTCACAGCACCACCACACAACACACGGCACCTCACAACACAACACACGGCACCTCACAACACAACACACAGCACCTACATCACACTCTCTATACGGTACTTACATCACAACACAACTCACAGCGCCTCACAACACAACAACTCACAGCGCCTGAAAACACAACTCACAGCACTCACAACACAACTCACGGCGCCTCACAACACAACACACGGCACCTCACAACACAACACACGGCACCTCACAACACAACATACAGCACCTCACAACACAACTCACAGCACCTCACAACACAACTCACATCACATCACCTCACAACTCAACTCACAGCACCTCACAACACAACTCACAGCACATCACAACACAACTCACAGCACCTCACAACCCGTTATATCAAGTATTTTATTTATTTAACGATAAAATGTTTCTGTTTATTCTTCTGTATGAAGCGTCATGAGCGACTGTTATACTTTTAAACCCTGACAGCACTCATAATGGAGCGGCCAACCATGTGTGCTTCAATACTCACACACTGTTGACAAAGTCATTAACCTTTTCTCCTTGTCTCCCCCTCCCGACCTCCTATAGTTATACTGGCAATATGACTACCAACACATTAAAGTATTGTCAAAATTAAATCGTTATAGGACCTGAACCCTGTTTAGGTTCAGGTTAAGATAAATGACCCTTGAATAATGGTTTACCAGACTAACTCCCAAACCTGAAGAATATATATATTCAAAAAATTTATTTCTACCTGCACATTGCAAGAGTAATCCCCGAAGCCTGACGCCTCATTCCTTGTTACAGGAATCCAGAACTTGACGGAGATGAATAGAGAGGTGACCGGGGATCCGCGTCCTCTTGTCCTGCAGGTAAACTTCTAAGGCGTTTCAAGTGCTAACAGGTGAAGCAATTAACGCTGGAGGATTCGTTTTAGGAGTGGTTCACTTCTTGGTCACGTATATATATATATATATATATATATATATATATATATATATATATATATATATATATATATATATATATATATATATATATATATATATATATATATATATATATATATATATATATATATATGGCACTAATACGTGCATACTTTAACCTGAACACACATATTATGTGGTAATGCATACTGAGACACACACACACACACAATTACAAAACCAAACACATATACTGTATACACATACTGTACTGTCCAAGTGAAAGTGTGTCAGGTACTGTCATAATTCATGGAAATACTTGACATTCTTTCACTTTCCCTGACAGTACATTACACCCTCTCTTGTCACTGGCAGTACTGGACGCTCACTTTCCCTGGCAGTAATCGTTATTCTCACTTTCCTTGAAAGTACTTGACAATCTCGCACTTTCTCTGGCAGAAGTCGTTACTCTCACTTTCTCAGACAGTACTTGACACTCATTTTCCCTGGAAGTAGTCGTTACTCTCACTTTCCCTCACAGTACTTGACACTCTTCCCTTGTCCCTGGCAGTACTTGACACTCTCCTCCTTGTCCCTGGCAGTACTTGACACTCTCTCCTTGTCCCTGGCAGTACTTGACACTCCCTCCTTGTCCCTGGCAGTACTTAACACTCTCTCCTTGTCCCTTACAGTACTTGACACTTTCCCTTGCCCCTAGCAGTACTTGACACTCTCGTCCCTAGCAGTACTTGACACTCTCTCCTTGTCCCTGGCAGTACTTGACACTTTCCCTTGTCTCTGGCAGTACTTGACACTTTCCCTTGTCCCTAGCAGTACTTGACACTTTCCCTTGTCCCTGGCAGAACTTGACACTTTCCCTTGTACCTGGCAGTACTTAACAACCTCTCTTGTCCCTGGCAGGTGTTGCTGAGGGGATCTAACGGCAAAACTTACCACGCCACTTACGACAATTTAGTGCTGGACGAGAGCCACCGGGTCGTGGAGTTAGGTACCTACCACGGTGACGCAGGTGAGAGAGAGAGAGAGAGAGAGAGAGAGAGAGAGAGAGAGAGAGAGAGAGAGAAAAAATTTTTCATTGACATATCCCTCTTGTCTCTCGGTTGAGGTTAGGTTAGGTTAGGTTAGGTTAGGTTAGGTTAGGTTAGGTTAGGTTAGGTTAGGTTAGGTTAGGTTAGGTTAGGTTAGGTTAGGTTAGGTTAGGTCAGGTCAGGTCAGGTCAGGTCAGGTCAGGTCGGTTTAGCTTAACGTAGGTTAGTTTAAGTTAGTGTTAAATTAGGTTAACTTAAATTTGGTGGGGTTTTAGCGTCAGATTCGATTAGAATTAGATTAGGTATGGGTTGGTTAGGTTAGGTTTTGCTAGGTTAGGTTAGGTTACGTTTGGTTATGTTAAGTTAGGTTTGGTTATGTTAGGTTCGGTTTTGCAGGATTAGGTTAGGTTTCGCAGGATTAGGTTAGGTTGTGCTAGATTAGGTTAGTTTGTGCTAGATTAAGTTTGGTTGTGCTAGATTAAGTTAGGATGGGCTTATTTAGGTTGTCCTAGGCTAGGTTAGGTTAGGTTAGGTTAGGTTGCTAATTTTCTTTTTCCTATGGTGAAATAACCTGGAGTGTCCAAGGCTCTATATGATCTATATTTTTAACAACCAAGACGAACAGTAGTCACATTTTCCTGACTCTCTTCTCCACTGGTAATGCTCCAGGTGACTCCCTCCAGTACAACATCAACGAGACCTTCTCAGTGGTCGACCAGTGGTGGATATCGACAAACATAAACGCAGTGAGTAATGTCTCTCTTTTTGTCTGCCCTGTGTTGCCTCTCTGCTGTTTGATTGGTAGTGTCTGTGCGATTCTGTTTGGTATTTTTTGTTTGTTGTCTGCATAATTAGTGTATGTTTTTGTGTCTGTGTTTGTTGCTGTGGCTGTATAATTAGTGTGTTTGTTGCTGTGTTTGTATAAATAGTGTGTGTGTTTGTTGCAGTGTCTGTATGATTAGTGTGTTTGTGTTGCTGTTTGTATATTTAGTATCTGTATTTGTCGCAGTGTCTGTGTTTGTTTCTGTGTCTGTAAGATTATTGTGTGTGTTTGCTGCTGTGTTTGTATAAGTAGTGTGTGTGTTTGTTGCTGTGTCTGTTCCCCTGTGTGCTCGTGTTAGTGACCATAGAAAATGGCCGCCGTGGGCCGTTGTGTTGCGGGGGAAAAGAGGCGATATGTCGGGAGAGACTACCCCCTGGCCACTCTGTTAAGTCAGCTGGAGCAGTTGCGGAGAGAGATGGACGTTTTAAAGGGGGAAAACGAAGCCTACAGGACTGAACTCCTTCGAGTAGGTGTCCTGCCTAGCAGGACACCTACTCGAAGGAGGGTCAGGAGGAGCAGGAGTGGAGAGTGGTTGTCTTCAAGGGGACTAAGGTCAGACTCAGGAAAGCTGACGAGAGTGTGGAGTGCAGTAACCCTTACCAAGTAATGGAGGAAGCTAGCGAGGAAGAGAAGAGGCAGGGCAGTGTGGTGGTAGGAGAGGAAAGGGCAGTTGGTTAAACCCTGCCCAGTGGTAAGGTCGTGGTAGTTGGGGACAGCCAGGTGAGGTTCTTAGATAGAACTTTTTGCGAAAGAGATAGGAAACGTAGGACTAGGGTGTGTTTTCCTGGGGCTGGGATAGGACATGTAGCTGAGAGGATCAATAGGATTTTGTCAGGGGAGGGTACCAAGCCAGTAGTGTGTCTTAGTGTAGGAGGTAACGACATAGGAAAGGTTAGGAGTGAGGAACTTTTCAGGAGATATAGCGAGGCGCTGGGGAAGGTTAGCGATAAGGGAGGGATCCCGATAGTATGTGGTGTCTATGCCTAAAGGGGGGTTTGGCGGTGAGTGGCTGTCCAGGGCAATTGCTATAAATTTCCGACTGGAAAAACATTGTACAAGCAATGGTTGGGCATTCATTGATAACTGGCGACCGTTCCATGGCAACGACTACCTGTACAGTCCAGACGGAGTACACTTGTCTTGCGCTGGGGTAAAGACGTTCTCTGCAACCCTGGAGCGCGAAATTGTCGCTCCAAAGGGAAGGGGGGGGGTCGATTTTAGAGATCAGGGTAAATGGGAGTAAAAAAAGCAATCAAGTCCTGGGGAGTAGAATTGGTCACTCAGGACAAGGGGTAAAACAGGACCAGGGAAGGGTAGGTTTAAATGTATACTATACAAACAGTAGGAGCGTTAGAAATAAAATAGACTTGCTGAGAGCGGTTGTATGTACCGAGAATATAGACGTCATAGCAATCACCGAAACTTGGATGAATCTGGCGAGTAAGAACTTTTTATGAGAGTACCACATAGAAGGGTACAACCTTTTTCACAAGGACAGGGAAGGTAGGAAGGGGGGGGCACTCTTCGTCAGGAATACATTAAAACGTTGTATTAATAATACAATAAAGGGTGAAGTAGAAACTGAGTCTGAATGGGTAGAAATTGCGGAAGGAAGGGAAAACTAATTATGGGAGTAATTTACAGTTCCCCCCTAGTCTTGGGAAAGCAGCAGCTCAGCCCATATGGCAGGAAATGAGTAGGGCAGCAAGATACAGTAACCTGTGCATTATGGGGGATTTTAAGTTCAGAAATATTGACTGGGACAACATTATGCAGCGAAGAATGACGAAAATGATTCCGGGACTTAGAAGTCTTCCATATCAAGATAGGTTAAAGAAACTAAACTTGCATTCCCTAGAAAGACGAAGAGTGCGGCGAGATATGATATAAGTATTTAAGTGGGTGAAAGGAATCAATAAAGGCGATATAGATAAAGTTCTTATAATATCCGAGCAGGCTAGGACTCGTAGCAACGGATTTAAGTTGGAAAGTTTAGGTTTAGGAGGGAGATAGGAAGGAACTGGTTCATAAATAGGGTGGTGGGCGAGTGGAACAAGCTTAACAACTTTGTAGTAAGTGCTGGAACGCTGGAAAGTTTTAAAAGGAGGCTAGATAGATTCATGGATGATAGAGAGTGGTAGTGACTCGCGACAGGAGCTGCCATGCACAGGCCAACCGGCCTATTGCAGACTCCTTATTTTCTTATGTTCTTATGTTCTTATGAGTGACTATGAATCTGAAGACTTCCTAGACGCAGTACAGGACAATTTTTTAAAACAACTAATTACAGAACCTACTAGAGGTGACAATATATTAGGCCTAGAATTAACAAATAAAGAAAATATTATCAGAGATATCACAATAGGGGAATAACTAGGGAACAGTGATCACGGAGAAATCAAGTTTACCCTAAATTGGGAAACGAAAAATAATGACAACATGGTCAGTCCCAAACTTTCGATGATCGGCGGATTATGAGGGGTTAAGAAGGTACCTAGGTAGATCACCTGGGAACGGTCAGGTCAGTCTTTCGTAGGAATGCGTGAGGTCACCGTTGACACAAAGATTGATCATGATAAATTGATCATAATAAATTCACTAGTATACTACGTAAAGCACAGGAACAAGAAATATACCATGCATAAAAATTAGGTCAAATAAGAATGAGCCAAGGTGGATGACCAAAAAACTTAAACATGACATCGGAATAAAGAAAGGAATTTATAAGAAATTAAAGGGAGGGGAGGAACATTTCAGAGATAAGTATAATGAACTATCTACGAATGTTAAGAAAAAATGTACGGACGGCAAAAGGGCTACAAAATTAGGATAGTAAGAGAATCCAAGGTGAATCCCAAGGGACTTTTCCAGGTATATAGGACAAAGGTCAAGAATAAAGTGAGGCCTTTAAAGTTAGAGAGAGGGGAAGTGATCGATGAAAGTGAGAAAATAAGCAAAGCATTAAACAGCTAGTTCATATCAGTTTTCACAGAAGAAATTCACGAGGAAATGCCAGAGGTGGAACTGATATTTAGGGGAAATGAGAAGAGAAACTAAAGGATATCACTATCAGAAAAGAGGATGTTCTTAAGAAGATAAATAAATTAAAGAAGACAAAATCTCCAGGGCCGGATGAAATTTTCCCTCGAGTTTTGAAAGAGTGTAAGGAACAGATTAGCTGACCCCTCGTAAATTTATTTACAAAATCATTAGACACGGGAGTTGTGCCAGACTTGTGGAACGGGCAAATGTAATACCCATATTCAAAAAGGGAGACAGAGCATCAGCGTCAAATTACTTGCCGATGAGTTTGACGTCAGTAGTGGAGAAATTTCTTGAATCAATTATAGCAAATAGCACCCGAGCGCATTTAGAGAAAAACGAATTAATCTACGACTGTCAACATAGATTTACAAAGGGAAAATCTTGTCTAACAAATCTGCTGACGTGTTTTAGAAAAATCTATGAGGTAGTAGATAATGACGAAAATTACGATGTTATTTACTTAGACTTTAGTAAAGCATTTGACAGAGTACCGCATCAGAGGCTTCTGAGAAAAGTTAATGCTCATGGTATCGAGGGGAAAGTTTTAAATTGGATAAAATCATGGCTCACCGATAGAACACAGAGGGTCAGCATAGATGGTCCTAAATCTTAGTGGGGCTGTGTAACCAGTAGGGGTCAGTACTGGGTCCACTCTTGTTCATAATCTACATAAGCGATCGAGATACTGGGATCAGCAGTGACGTAAGCAAGTTTGTAGATGTTACCAAAATAGGGTGACAGATTAATTCAGGGCAGGATGCAAATGCACTACAGGAGGATTTAAATAAGCTGCAGGAGTGGTCAGCAAAATGGCAAATGGAATTCAACACCAGCAAGTGCAGGATACTTAATATTGGAAGAACAAATACTGTCAATGTTTACAGCCTTAACAACATCAACCTAATGAAGTCGACTTGGGAAAGAGACTTAGGGGTACTTTTAAGCCCGGACTTTCGGCCTAGAAAACAGTGCGTTAATGTTCGAAATAAGGCAAACAGAGAATTAGGTTTTATATCTAGAAGTGTAAGTAATAAGAGTGCGGAGGTCATATTGCAATTATACCTTGCGCTAGTCAGGCTGCACCTCGATTATGCTTTTCAGTTCTGGTGCCCTCATTATAGAATGGATATCAATTCACAGGAGTCGGTGAAACGAAGAAAGACGAAAATGATTCCGGGACTTAGAAACCTTCTATGTCAAGATAGATTAAAGGAACTAAACTAGCATTCCCTAGAAAGACGAAGAGTGCGGAGAGATATGATAGAAGTATTTAAGTGGATGAAAGGAATTGATCAAGGAGACATAGATAAAGTTCTTATAATATCCGAGCAGGATAGGACTTGTAGCAACGGATTTAAGTTGGATAAGTTTAGATTTAGGACGGAGATAGGAAGAAACTGGTTCACAAATAGGGTGGTAAACGAGTGGAACACGCTTAGCAACTATGAAGTCAGTGCTGGGACGCTGGAAAGTTTTAAAAGGAGACTAGATAGATTCATGGACGATAGAGGGTGGTTGTATCTCTCGACAGGAGCTGCCATGCACAGGCCAACCGGCCTATTGCAGATTCCTTATTTTCTTATGTTTTTATGTTCTTATGTGTAATTTATGTGTGTGTTGCTGTATTTGTATAATTAGTTTGTGTGTTTGTTGGTGTGTTTGTATAATTAATGAGTGTGTTTGTTGCTGTGTTTGTATAATTAGTGTGTGTGTGTGTGTTTGTTGGTGTGTCTGTGTTTGTTTCTGCGTCTGTATATTTAGTGTGTTTGTTGCTGTGTCTGTAAAATTAGTGTGTGTGTTTGTTGCTGAATATGTATAATTAATGTGTGTGTTTGTTGCTGTGTCTGTATAATTAGTGTATGTGTTTATTGCTGAGTCTGTATCATTAGTGTGTGTGTTTGTTGTTATGTATGTATAATTAGTGTGTTTGTTTCTGTGTCTTTATGATGAGTGTCTGTGTTTGTGTCTGTGTATGTATAATTAGTGCGTGTGTTTGTTGCTTTGTTTGTATAATTAGTGTCTGTTTGTTTCTGTGTCAGTATGAGTAGGTGAAGGTGTGGAGACGGAAAGCACTAGAGTAAAAAATGTAATTCCCTATAGATAGAATCTGTAACTTCGAGGTCACTTTAACCAACCATCTTCCATGTTGTTGCTTAAGTATTCTAATAGACAAGTTATCTCGTCATCACTCAGCCAGGTAGGAAAATTATAGTTATCGTTGACAGTTTCTCTATTTTCTTCATTTGCTTTCAGTCCAAAATTGGCAACGGCATAACAGAATGGCCTTCGTTACTTGAACCCGTGTCAGCTGCTAGGGTGAGGATAAGACCACAGGTGTTTGATAGAGGTAAGTGTCGTGAGGTGAGGACACAACACAGTGACAAGTAATCTTAGAAATATCCTTATTTGCCTAACTAATTATTACCATTATCATCATTATTATTACTAGTGTTTTAATCTTTCTCTCTATCCTTCCACAGCAACTTCGTGTCCACCTTTCGGGATTATGGAACCCTCATGGCTTGTAAAGGACCCAGCGTTCCTACTTCCGTCAGGAGCCACCATCCAGAGGTCGAGGACAGAGAACGCGACGGTGTCCCTGAGCCGTGGCTTGCGCTCCCTCATCACCTACCAGTGCTGGTGGTTCTACTCGGAGGGTGTGCAGGGAGGTGCTAGGACACGAAGGGGCGCTGTGCACTGTAGAAATGATAATGGACTTTTGAATTGGGATAAACCTAATCTGCACCTTCCATGCTCTCGTGAGTACCACTGTTCTATTGCCAGTCTGGATCACCTGAAGATTAGGCATCACAGCTTATCTCACTTGAGGATTAAACAACCTAACCCTACCTGGGGGCTTATCTTAGCTTAGGCTCGATGATGTGATGTGATGCGATGCTAGGTTAGGTTAGGTTAGTGTAAGCGAGTTTATTTATCAGGTGAAATAAGCTATGGGGTCCTAATCTATACAAGCGATTCATTGTCCTTATTAAATAAATTGCATATACAGTATATATATATATATATATATATATATATATATATATATATATATATATATATATATATATATATATATATATATATATATATATATATATATATATTATATATATATATATATATATATATATTTAGAGAGAGAGAGAGAGAGAGAAAGAGAGATTCTTAATTGTTAAGTTTTGATGACTGGTTTAAGTACAGTACTAACTACTTGCTTGATGATTGATTGATTGATTGATGAGTCTAGTAATTACATCCATGGCGACGCAAAAGCTTAGGTCATATGCCGTCGAATTAAACTAAAAACTTATAAGGCTACAAGCAAATAATGCAAGGTAAAATACATAAATAATATATAACAAAGAACTTTCAAAGTTAAAAAAATTTAAACGTTAATCAATAAAACTCAAAGCTTGTGTATAGGTCTGGCTTCCTCTACTAAGGAGAGGATGTTCCTTCCCACGCTCCCCTACCCCACCCGTAGCGCTAAAAAGAGGCGGTAAGATCCGTCTCCCCCCGGCACTGGGAGAGGTGCCCACTACGAAGATCTCTGAGACTGGGGCACTCCAGCAGGAGGTGTCGAACAGTCAATGGAACCAAGCTTCTCACCACAATGGGGAGGGGGCGCTCTGTCCATTAAAAAATATGAGTCACCCGCGTGTGGCCAATATGGAGGTGGGCCAAAGCGACGCAACGGTCCCCGATATCCCCAGGCACCCAATGCAGGGTGGGTGCCATGGAGCTTGTTTGCTCCGACGGCATCCCGGCATCCCACCTGCATTGCCAACTCGAGCGGATGGCAGCTCTTATTACCGGCTTCATATCAGAGGCAGGTGGAAAGGAATGATGTGCCACAGAGCGAGAAGCAGCTGCTTTCGCCACAGCATCAACACGTTCAGTCTCCTTCTCCCCCACACGGGACGGAACCCAGCAAAAACTGACTTTCCGGCCCAATATTGGTTGAGAAACAACGACTGTAAAATATATATAATTACGGGATGGGGCGACGAGACACTAGATAAAGCCTGCAGAGCACTGCAAGAATCACTAAAAACTGTAAAATCGCTCCTGGGTTCGGTAAAAATAATCTTAACGGCAAGTAAAATACCTGAAAGCTCTGCCGTAACAATAGATTCCTTAGTGGGAGACTACCGTCAACAGAAATCAGAAAATAATACCACAATATCCACCCCTGCATCCAACTTAGAGCCGTCGGTGTAAACAGGGACAGTCCCTCTGGGAGCGGAGGCATGCTCTAAAAAAAATGAGAACGAACCACACAAGGAAGAAGTAAGTCCTTCTTTTCGTTAAAATACTAACAAAGTAGAACTTCAAGGAGAATCCATGGAGCATGGGGCATATCTGAACAGGGGGAAGACAAAGAACACTCACAACTCCCTTATCCTGAAGCCAAAATGTTGCGGGAGGCCTGGATGTGGAGTGTAGTGTGGGGACATAGTCTCGTCAACTACACAAGTGTTGGTTACGGACTGCGGAAGGCGATGGAGGCGAAACCAACACTGGACCTTGAGATACTTGCGCCAAAGATTAAGTGGAAAGCTCATCAGCAACAACAGTGGACTTGGAACTGGCGAGGACCTGAAGGCACCGGTCGCCAGGCGCACCCCAGTATGATGAATGGAGTTCATTGTACTGAGTCAAGCCTCGGTAGCTGAGGAGTACACCTCACACCCATAATCCACTTTGGGTCTAACTAGCATGTGGTAAAGATGTAGCAGAGTTCCTCGGTCAGCAACCCACGACGTGTGCCCCAAGACTCTCAATAACTTGAGAGCACGCTGGCAAGACTCTTTGCGGTAACGAATATGTAGCTGCCACATAAGACGGTTGTCGAAGATAATGCCCAGGAAACGGGTCTCTGTGACACACCGCACACGATGACAATAGAGCTGTAGATCAGGATCGGGGTGAACACCTCGGAGGCGGCAGAAACCTTGCCCAGTGTAAGTTGTTTGCGACGTTCAGCCTCTGACATGCAAGCAGCTGCCTACCAAATGGACAAGTCGTCTTCATACAATGAAATTGATAAACCACTTGGAACAGATGCTGCTACATCATTTATTGCGATGGCAAATGGGGTCACACTCAAGACACTTCCCTGAGGAACCCCGTCGTTCTGAATATATGGTGCTGATATTTCTGTGACAACGTAGACCCTAAGAGTGCGATGGTCCAAGAACTGACCTATTATTGGTGGTAAATTTTTCCGCAAGTCAAAATTGAGAAGCACCTTAAGAATGCCAAATCTCCAAGCTGCGTCGTATGCTCTCTTTTGGTTGAATAAAACTCATACTAGATGCTGACGACGAACAAAGGCCTCACAGACCAAGGACTTAAGACGAACAAGAGCATCTGATGTTGAATGTATCTTCCAGAAGCCAGATTGATATAGTGAAAGGGCATTCTTCTCCAGGTAGTATACTGTACAATACTAATCACGAGTTGAGCATCTTTTCAAACAGCTTATAGATACAGGAGTTCAGAACTATGGGGCGATATTCTAACGGGTGAATACCCTCTTTTCCAGTCTTCTTGAAAGGCAGGACAGTAGCCTCCTGCCATGAGGAAAGGAAGACACCCTCTCGCCAGATCCTGTTATATAGCTCCAATAGAAAAATTCAAGGTGTTGGAGCATTGAAAATGGGACATCTTCAGGCCCTGGTGATGCATCTCCAGTGAGTGAGAGGGCGGTTTTCATTTATTTCATTCAGAACAAGATGTTGTACGTCTCTCCACGTCCCACTCCAAGATCCAGGGTCCGTGATCGAGCTGTCATAGAAGACACACCTGCATATGTTGTGGAAAAAAGCTCAGCAACTTCTTCGGGGGCGGCGACGGAGCTGCCATCATTAGCCATGAGAACTGGGGGGGGTTAGAATGAGGCTTGCTATTTTCTGCATATGTTTTCAAACCTAGGAGAAGGGAGATTTTACATTTAGAGAGAAGACATATGAGGACAGAGACTGGTGACGGGCATTCTTTGAAACTCGACGAGTTTGGGCTCTGGCCCATTTGTATTCCACACGAAAATTCCGTCATATGAGACTGTTCAACAACTGCATGTCTGCATTCCTCCAACGACCAAGGAACAGGTCGGGGAGCTACACAACCAGAGGTCCGAAGAATGGAACAATATCCAGCCTATCTACTGAGGAAAAGTCTTTAGTGCACCCCTCTACCTTTGCTAGTTCCTTGAACAAGTCCCATTACGCCTTATCTAACTGCCAACGGGGAACTTTCCTCCGGGGAGGAAAGTGGGATAGGGTACTGGTCACTTTCTCTGAGGTCATCTGTTACTCTCCACTCAAAGTCCAGTAGAAAGTCTGCTGAACACAGTGAGAGATCTATGGCTATAGTCGTGTCGGTTTGGACATGATAGTGGGTGACATCACAGTATTTAATATTCCCAGATCCATTTCTTTATTGATCGAGACTATCAAATGACCCTTTTATTAGCCCTTGTATCACCCCGGAAGGTATGCCTGCCATTCAAATCACCGAAGATAAGATAAAGAGAAGGAATTTGACGAATTTATTAAACCAAATCTTCCCTAGCAATTGGTGTACTGGGTGGGAGGTAAACGGAGCGTATGGTATAGGTGCGTTGAAGGTGAATCTGGCAAGCTGTCACCTGCAACGGGGAAGTGATGGATAATAGGCTATACTGTAGGGTACACCACACTTGTCCGAGAAAAGGATGGCTGTGTCCCCATGAGGCATCTCCTCTTGATTTTGAGAAGAATAAAAATCCGAATAACCTCTGGGAGGGAGACGATCATAGACACCGAACATTGTCTCTTGCAGACAAATGCATATAGGGGAGAACTTGTTCAGGTATAATTGGAGCTCCTCCCAGTTGGCTATTAAGCCTCGACACTTCCATTGGACTATGGTAGCCACGATTAGTGGGGATCTAAGTAGGGGTATGCGAGTGTGCGGCTCCCAACAGGCTTTGGGTGTTGGAACCTGGAGGATGCACCGGGAGTGTACCACGACGTGCCCCTCCTCCAGTCCCCCTGCTGAAGTGGGGGGGTGGGGACGACTTGTGTGGGGCTGGGCTTTTCTGTCCCGCCCTAAGGTTGAAAGTTGTGTCTGTATCTTTGTAGCCACAGACCATCGCAGATGTAGGCCCATCGGATGGGCTAACACCAGAGTTAACCCCTGGAATGGGCTCCCATCACCAAGGGCAACCGGAAGGAGATCAGCTGGCTTTTCTGGGTAGGAGGCGCCAGCCTGAGCTGACATCTGTTGAAGTGTTTGGGACTCAGAATTGGGTTCTGAAGTTAGCGAAAAGGCCTTGCTTATTTCGCAACAGTCGGACGATTCCACCATCGAGACCTTGGCTAGATGATCGTCCACATCCAGAGACTCTGAGGACCCTCGGTAGCATTTCTCTGAAATTTTGGTAGTACCAGAACGGTGGGTGGAGGAATGATGAAGAGTAGCAGATGTGCCCGCCTCATCCACAGAGTCAGGAGTGGAAGCCAAATTCAACACAGGTACAGATGATTCTCGGGTCGATGTCACATCAACACTTCGCCGATCCTCGTGTCGGGACAGAACCTGTACATAAGAATCCTCATGACTTGAGACTGATTTCAGTGCTGTGCTTCTGGTTTCGACAAAGCACACTTTGTCATGCGGATGTGGAGGGTATCTCTCTCGAGTCGGAACCGGGTCACATTCACTAGAAGAGGCAGGGTACGCCTCACTACAGTGAAAACAGCAGACCGGACCCGGACATTTCTGACCCTCATGGGCCTTACCACAGTTAACACATACTGCAGGAATACCCTGCTGTATCTTACAACAAGTGAGGCCGACATGGCTATACATCTGACAATGGAA